CTCCGTCAGTCGGCAGTCCAGGGCACTGTGTGTCCGAGTGGATCGCAGCGTGATTTTGCGAAGCCCACTCCACCACAGAAGTACGTATGGTCGTTTGATAGACCAATTGGTCTCTTTGACTGCCAGCCAAGCTTTTTGAGTTCACGCCAACGCGCTTGAAACGCAATTTTCTAGGCCTGCGTCGTCGGTGGCGGTTTCGGAAATGAAAGTAAAATGAGTGGTGTCAAGACGAACCTCTAATACGCAATGATGATGAATCCTTCACTATCATTTACCTTTGTCTTCTAATTTTCTGGAAATTCTAAAATTAACCTTTACGGGAAAGATGGGTATCAACGCCTAGCCCTAGGTGACTTCAGATTTGTATGTGGCTTTACAAAAAAGACTTCAAAGACTTTTAACGCGTCTAATACAGCCTCTTGCGCTGGGGGGGGGGGGGGTTAAAAGAGAAAATATCGAGCGACCTTGACCAAACCTCATTCTGGGGCAACGAAGTGGTCGGAGCATTGAAGTTTTGGTGAAAGCAAAGCGGCTGTCTAGACTGTATTGTCATCGCAACGTGAGTGGATGTTTAGATATGACGTCGCCAAGCGCTTAAGCATCGAGTTATGGTGTAGGAGCTGGAGTTCTAGCTCAATTTTTTTGGGTTTCTCGTGCATGACGCAACTTTATAAAGAGGTGGTAGAGCTAAGCGGAACTCGAGACACCAACAATGCGGGAAATACAATGGATGCATTGGTCCAGTTTCCGACAGGATTGTATCGAAACGTTTAACATGATTCCCATGTGGTCTATCTGAACATCGTGCAATACAACATCCCCTATTATCAGTTCTTGGTGATGATTTTGGAATTCGTCGTCCAGCTCAAGCCGCGCTTCATCACTGGAAAAAATAGGGCAAAGTATGCTTAGTAGTAGCTATCACCGATGATTATATCATTCCAGTAATTCTCTACTTAATTTTTAAAAATAATCAGGCTTTTTGTTTCATGTAGATGTCAATCACAATATTTGTATGTTTCAGCAGTACTTTTGAAGATCCTCATCCACGACTAATTTTCCGTTGCTCCATTGACGCTTCATTAGCGCACGGTCTTGATCAAAAATTGCACGCTGCCAACTCGTTCTTCACCAAATGTAAATGGTTAAACGCGTTCCAGACGATAACCTCGCGATGAGCTTCCACGTGCTGTACGCAAGACGTTGCACTCAGGCCGGTCTGAGGATTGATCATCTCCAAATCCTACCTCTCGCGACGCTCGTATTCTCATCTCGACGTTCGCTTCTGTATTTATGCCCGCGTCTCGACTACGCGTCGCCGGGTGAGTGCAAGCTGAACGGAATAATATACGGTCGACCAGCTCCATACTTATGCCTTCACGCAGCAATGGCTCGTGTGCTTTAATGCTCAAAGGAGAAGATTTAATAGTCTCCAACACCGTTTCCACCTCATGATAAGAGATCTCAAACTCAGCGGCCACTTCTTGAAAAATTCCGTACAAATGTCTTTCCACATTTACTAGTACTAACTTCTGAGTGGGACGGCATGGTGTGTTTGGTATCATTCTGTAGCCGCTGTAGTTTTCGTTCCAGATCTGTAGCCTCTACGCACTGCCATGCAACTCACGCGAAACGTGCTTTATTAGGGTTGTAGTTACACTTTTTGGGCTTGGGAAACTGATTGCTGGGTTTTCCAGCGTCACGTATAGACATTTGACATCGAGTGATACGTACTGGAGTGGCCAGCCCCAGACGGAAGTCGCAGATTCAGTCGTCCATGGATGAGATTGTATATTCTAGTTTTAAAATGAAAATTTGTTTGTTTCGCGAATGTATTTTCAAAAAGGAAAAGGTGAGCGGTTTTCAACTTTCGTGACCATGAACAAGTGCCAACATCTTGATCCCAGGTCATCGTTACCATCACTTGATGGCGCTGCGCCTCGCCACGTCCAAGCACTAGTCTGCGTCCGCACTGTCTGCCGGAGTAGCCGAAGCGCTTCGCTTGCCGCACGTCGTGGCCTCTCTCCAGACATATCTCGACTGGTCTCGTGAAATCCCTCTTCCTCGCGCATGCCGTTCCAATTTCATATTTATACTGCATCGTAATCTTTTCGCACTCGCCAACGAAGGTGTCGATAGTAAGATTCAGCACCCGAAGCTCAGACAATATCAGTTCTCAGAAGCTGTAACCAATGCTGTCAATGCGGGAAATCTGGAAATGGTGCAGTTACTATCAGACCATTTTTCGGAGTGCTATGTGCCTGAAGAAACTCAATCAAGCTGCTAAGCTGGATCGAGATGAAATAGCGCACTGGCTAGTGAATAACCATGAAGACACGAGGTTGGACATCGTCGTTGGAATTGCAATCAACAATAAGCATTATGTCCTGGCCAAGCGGCTGGGTACACGAGTGGAGATGAGGCTGTGTTCTTCATGTGTAGCGAAAAATGGAGACCTTGAGATGCTCCAGTGGGTTTGCAGCTTATAATGTTGAATGAACCACACAATGACGTCAAAATGACCATTAGAGTAAAACCAAGTGTCGAGTAACGCATGCTGATGTCCAAGCAGCCTTGGATGGGCACTTGGATATTGTGCGTCTTTTTTTCACGATATCAGCATTGAATGTTGCAGCAGGACAGCAACAGCATCTGCTGCAAGTCCCGGACATTTGGATATTGTAAAGTGGTTGGGTAATTGTATGCATTTCCACTAGCCATAGGGGTCAAGCAAACAGTTACATTAATGAGAGCTTATGCAATGATCATCAGCTCGAACCAAAAGGGACGAGGAGAGCGGTACCCCCAAATAGGTGGTCATGCAGTAGGCCTCATCAATGCAACGTTGAATCGCCCTTGGCTCCCAATACAATAGACGCAGAAAGTGTAGACACAGATTCCTTGCAGAGTCTTGTGTAGGTCTTGTACGCATCGGAAACCCAACGACCGTGGGACTGGATCGTCAGTGCGTCGGCCCCTGACCGGTACATGTGCGTGGCACCTCCGGAGCGTAGAGAGTGTGAGCTGAAACGGCGAGGATCTTTACCTGTACGTCCAGCAGCCCGCTTAATGGTATTGGAGACATCTGCAGTCGATATCGCCTCTGGTTTGCCGTGGCGTGACATGAACACTGCAGCCGGGATGTCGACGGGGAGATCTTTTCTCGCTTGAAGCAGCATAAGAGCCCCGAAAACGGGGCACAGAAAGGGATGCCCTGATCGTGAAAGCATTCTTGTAGTTTGACAACCGCCTTGGTTAGTCTTCGATCCCACCAGGCGAATCCATACCGAGCGGGCCTCTGCCGGTGCATAGGTTTCGACCCCTTGGGCATCTACCGTCGCAATGTCTTGTGCTCGTAGCACAAACCACTTGAAAGAACCTTTGTTGATCGCCACAATCTCGGAACGCCTTAAGAGAAAAAAGAAAGCCAGACATAGGACCCCCCAGACAGCTTGCTCGAAGGGATCAGGCATAGACATACTTCGAAAGCAGGTGTCAAGAAGCTCCAGAGAGACGGGTTCCTTTCGAAGTCGCGGTGCGTCTAGCCGACTGATTCGTTTGAGCAGCATACGGATGTGTGGGTGTGAGATTGGAAACCCGAGGCTCATTGCGTCGAAGAAGTGACGAATGCCTTGAAGGACCACCATGATAGAGTCGCTTCGGATTGGGACGCCGGAACCATAGCCAAATTGAAAACCATGTAGCACGAAGTCCGAAATATGCTGAACCTGGTCGACAAGTGGCACACCGGTGAGCCATGGAGGGATGCCTCTCCGAGAAGTCCAACGCTGCCATTTGCTCAGAGCACGCTTGTATCGGTCAAAGGTGGAGTCGGCAACGGAGTGCGCGGGAAGATATGCTGCCAAATACTGGTTAGACACTGGACATCGAGCGTCGGTGAGACCTGTGACCAACCGGGCGTTAGTGAAGCAAACAAATCTGCAAACAATGCGTCAGCGGAGATGCGGGAACCAGCGTCAGCGCGAACGTTGTCAACACCGGCGATATGGGACGCAGAAAAGCGTAGTCTGAAGGACGATTCCCACCAGCTCAAAAGGCGGATAATGACTTGGGCTCGGCGGTTGAGCGATGCAAGCTTGCTTTGCCATGATACAGCGGACGAATTTTCGAAGCGAAAGTGCACGATGAGTGGTCTGCTATGACGCGAAGACCGTTGAGACCACAGGGGGCCCCAAGCATGGGCGGCAAATGCGCACGAAAGTAGTTCGCGGAAATTGATGTCGAAGCCGTTTGAGACACCGCGGTTAAACTCCGAGATGAGGTGGCGTTCAGAAGCCGTGAACATGTGCGTCAGTGCCGCATGAGCAGACGTATCGAGCGCGCAAAGGCCGAGATCGGAGGCATCCATCTCTATCACGACGTCGGGAGGAGGCAGTGTGTTGAAAAAATCGAGCGACACTCCATTGAGTTGAGACGTGTGCAATATCATCCGCCACCACAGAAGATCGTCTTTCATTACTTTGGAAACTGGAACGCTCAGGAACCGGTGAAGATGGCTTTCTCGTTGGCGTAAACGCTGTAGAAACGGCCGAGCAGCCCGGATACAAGTCGCCACATGGCGAAGACTGCCCATCAGTGAGCGGTACGCTTTGTGAGACAGCGACTTAACGCTGTAGGCGGACCCGACAATCCTACGAGTCTTTATGATCTTAGTATCAGGTAATGAAACCTGCTCTGCTTCAGAGTCAAACTCGAGTCCGAGAACACGTTGGCGCGTACTCCAGTTGGTAAAATTCTCCGTGTTTATGGCGTCTGAGCCCAGAACAGCCACCATCGCGTTTCTGAGAGAACGGTCCATTTCGTTGCACGCCAACCCGATGTTTGGGGATACGTTGATGTGGTCGTCCATCCAATGGTAGGAAAAGAAACCGTTCGGGGAGACATGATTCGCGTGAGATCCATGAACGTAGGAAATTGCACCACCAAAAATTTCGTAGAATCCCGGCGATCCCGTCAAGCCGAAGGGAGCTGAAAGCTCAATGATTAAGACACCTTCCTCCTCAATTCGTCCTGCGAACAGATACACACTGTTGCTGTGAATGCTGATATTGCGGAAAGCTGTTGCAACGTCACCGGCCATTATGCAGATGTCAGCATCGGGAAACTGGTTCTTTGCTTTCAGTATTTCGCGCGAGACAGCGTCACAGTGGGTATAATCTGGCATGGTGATCCTGTCTTGGTCCGTGTACTCGTTAACGGACGCGCCCTCAGGGTAGGAGAGGTCGTGGATAGTTCGACCGGACACCTTAGAGTCTTCTCCGCCCTTGTCGACCACACCGAATGGACTGATGACGACTTCTGGCCACTGATCCAGAAGGTTCGCGTCCAGGACTAAGCATCTCCACGCATCTTGTTTCTTGCGTATATTCTTGCGCCGGATATTTATCCGATCACGGGCTGATCCATGGTTCGGAGTACGGACTGAGTGCCTCTGTGAGACGAACTTCAACACCTTCCCGGACAATTTTCTGAAGGAGGTCCAAGTGACGATAGCCCTTGCACACGTTGTTCAGAACGGCCGGCACCATATTTCTTTGGACGATAATCAGCCGCAGTTTGTCCCCGTACCAGCTCTACGAATTCCGGCAGTGTGAGGGCTGACCGACGTGCGAGTTCCGACAGAGCCCGCTGAAGCGGCTTGTTAAGAAGATATTCACTGCCGGAAGCGCTTTCTCGCGATGTAGGATAGACGCTTGGAGGTGCTGTGATGCGGAACTTGAAAAACATCTTGGTCAACTCAGCCGTCCTTCGCTCCTTAATTAGGCCGCGTCGCCGTCGTGCATTTTCGTGTGTCTTCGCCGCAATTTCGCTTGATACAACCGGGTGCAGGAACTCGGAGGAAACCGTCACACACTTTCTTGTTGGTAGTGGCTTATCAGTAGATTGAGACTGTGTTGAGAATCCGGACTGTATAGTCAATTGTTGCTGTATAGCGGTGGGTGACTGTATGGACGACCCGGATTGTATAGTCAATTGTGGCTGTATGGCCGTAGCGGTGTGTGTTTCGAGCACCTCAGCGGTCTCCAAGTTGGCGCGGAGTGAGCGGTTTTCGTAGGAAGGCTCCATGAAGATGAAGGGCGAGTACAATCCGCCACAGGCGCATATGCTGGCGGCCAGTCGAATGTTCAGAGGCTTAGGCCTCGAACCAGGTAAGATCAAGTCACCTATGTCTTTCGTTTTGATGATGCGGGAGTTGGAGTGCGTCAAGTTCAAGATTACACCCGCTGTACTGATGACAGTGTTTAGTGTACGTCTCGGCTCCAGAGGATTGACGATCATGCA